CAGTTACTTCATTCCTAAAGCTATTATGAAGTCGGGGCGCACATACTTGGCCTTGTTATTCACCTGAAGAATATCCCGTAAAATAAAGAATCACTTAAAAACGTACCTTTTTTCTGAATAGCTCACTGTTTCGCAATGCGTCGTGCGTCGGCTAATCTTTCTTCCCTCGGTCGAATGTCCGAAGTATGGAGTGGTCTTGAGCAAGCTGCTTTCATGCGCCTCTTGGCGGCTCAGCTAATAACCTGCTCAGATGCAATGGAACGCGATCAGGCTTTTGACGACTTTGTTGCTAAAATGCGCTCGATTGCCGACCACCTCCTCCTACGTCAGACGAGACTTCGGTTTGTTTTTTGTTGGCCCATTCACTCAATCGAACGCCCAATTTCTTAACCCTTTCTACTTCATGTTTGCCTCATCAGGTTCAGTCTTCACGGAGAGGAGGGTAGTTTGGCACCAGCTTGTGAGCAACTGGAAGCTTTTCTTTCAGCATTGCCTTTAAAATCAGATAAAGAGGAAGAAGTGAAGTTTACTCCTGATCCATCTGCTCTAAAGTCCAACAACGCTTTCATCGTTTTGCCCTACTCCGTTTATTATGCGAGTCTCGCACTGCCTGCACCGTACTACTCTTCTCCTGATTTTCCTGTGTGAGTTTAACCCCTTAACTTTTGCGATCTGGGATGGAACTTCTTAAGCTACTAAATAAAGCAGAGCTTTAAGTCGACGGAAGAAAGGCCTTGTAGTTGAGTTCCTTGAAAAAGAGTCAACAAATGCTTTTGCGACACGCGCCCACAGGTTAAGTTTGGCTCATTTTTTTATTTTTTTCCGATAGAATCTGCCATTAGTTGCCACTTCCGCTTCTATAACAAATGTTAAGGAAGGGTGTAGCCATTATTTCTAGTAACCGTTGACAGAATATGGGCATTAAGAGTGTTGGTGGGCCAATCAACCTCCTCACTTCAAGACTGGCCCTATCTGCTCATAGCTGTAATGGTAGGTTTTGCTTTGCTTTCAAAGCAGCATCTCGTGACACGCTTTAATGATTCATAAGTAGAATAAACTTGTCACGCTACCTGTGGAGATGGTTGCGTTTGGAAAGAAATTAGGGAAACTCAGTTTGTGAGGTGGAGGAGCTATAATCGCTTCTATTAGGCGCATGCAAGACACTAGAGTGCCGAGAAAGTAGGGGAA